ACATAATGGATTAACAATTGCAATTTAAAACTAATCAGAATCATTGCAAACTAAATGACAGATGCAAGATAGAGCAGATTCAATGCAGACATAAATCAAACAGATGCAATATATAGCAGGAAAAAGAAACTTATCTGTATCAGTGAGAAAGGGAGAGAGACTTAGCAACACCTTCAACGAGCAATACTGCCTTGCTGCACTCTGACGCAAAATCACATCCAGCACTCTAATAGCATCTTGATGGTTATCTGATTCCTTTCTTTGAAGTTAGATTGGAAAAGCAGAGACAATAATAAGACATTAGAAACTACAGAAGAGGAAGCATAAAATCAAGAGTTTATGGCAATGGTAAAGCATGAACTCTACAGATATCCGTAAGAAGCAAACAGTTATGTTCAACCCAAATTTGTCAAAACTATCAGTGAGAAAACTTAAAAGATGCTCAAGAAGTAACTGTGACAAAAAATATAAGCTGATAGAGCAAGAGACAATACATCAAGCAAGATTCAGATCTCAGTCATGACAAAAAACAAAGCAAGCTTCACACAGTTATTAAAAACCATAGCAGATGAAACATGCTCCAAGCAAAAAGAAAGCAGAAAATTGGCAAAAACATTGATAAAGTCGTTGAGGAACATAGCAGTGGTAGAGATGAACATGTGTACCATCACTTGTCTATGTCATTAGTGATAGCAAAGGTAGCTTAGGGCAGTCTTTTAGGACAATCAAGCCACTTCCATTACCAGTTCCTGGAAGCACATAAAGAGAAACAAAGTAAAAGGTTTCTGGCTAAAAATAATCGAAGTCAAGCAACTTAAGAGGAGCTACATTATAATTAAATGTACTTATGCATCTTAATAGGTTTCAATCACATGAAAATTACAATTTAAAAGGACACAAGAAACAAAATTCTTAATGATTCTGCATATCATGTGAAGAACACGAACCTGCAGGGATCATTCCAATTGGCAATTTAAAGGCAGTTTTCCAGTCTCCTCTTTCAAGCAGTCTATTTACAACCTACTAAAATTAGAGACCACTTGTAAGAATTTCTTATAAGGCAAGGTGCAGAATCTCATCCAAAATAAGTTATCCAAAGAAATTTGACATATGGAGAAGAAATCGATACTTGCACAACAGAAAAAGCATAGTACTTAATTACCTCAACAAGGGTACCGTCGCCGCTAACACAAACAATACCCCAAATGTTCAGGAGCCTTCTCTTCTCCCTTGAACTTCTTCTTAAGCTGCAAACAAAAAAACCCCAAATCAAAATCAGATCGTGGGAAAAATCAAGAGATGGTTAAATCATAATCATGGAGATGGTTAAATTGTTCAGGATCTTACTATGTATGAAGATCGAGGCGGATTTAACCATCTCGATATGCTTCCATACGAAATCCGCCTGAATCTGGTTGTTTCAACAATTTCGATATGCGTTCATAGCAAATCAACCACGCACGACTCGATTCCGTCATCATTTGAGACAAAAAATCGTTGGATTTCGTCGATTCTATGAAGATTTCTGGCTAGAAGGCGAAACGC